AGACGCAGTCATCTATCACACTAAAAACCGCAAATGGTGATTGTATAGCCAGCGATGAGTGTTTAAATTTATTAAATAGTACTTTTGCAGATTCATTCTCTACTGATAACATGCACGATTTCCCTTCGCTAGAGAGTGCCGATTACTTGCCCATGGATCCTCTTTTTCTTGATTACGTTGGTGTCGGTCATATCATAGATAAACTCAAACTGTCATCTTCAGCAGGAGTGGACGGTATTAATTCCAAGTTTTTACAAAACACTAAACAATACTCCTCAATTATTTTAACAAAATTATTTGAACAGTCTATACAAGACGCTGTTCTCCCATCAGACTGGAAGGTAGGGAAGGTGGTACCCATTCACAAGGCTGGAGATAAATATTGCCCTCTTAATTATCGTCCGATCTCAATAACCAGCATTCCTTGCAAACTTCTTGAACATATAATTTTTTCTCACCTTGTCAACTTCTTAGAATCTAACAACTTCTTCAACAATGCCCAACACGGTTTTCGAAAATCATTTTCATGTGAAACCCAACTACTATCTTTCACGAATGACCTACATCACATTCTGGACCGAGGATCCCAGGCGGACTGCATTTTCCTGGACTTCGCCAAAGCATTTGACAAAGTTTCTCACAATCTTCTGCTTCTAAAACTTTCCAAACTTAACATAGACAATAACGTTCTCGCATGGATACAGTCTTTTTTAACTCAAAGGTCTCAATTTGTCACTGTGAATAACAATAACTCCTCTTTTGTCAAAGTTGCGTCAGGGGTTCCGCAAGGGACAGTCTTAGGGCCGTTGCTATTGTTAATTTATATTAACGACCTACCCACTAGTGTCTCTTCGTCCGTGTCTCTGTTCGCTGACGACTGTGTACTCTACCGTGAGATTCTCAATCATAATGACACCTGCATACTCCAATCAGACATTAATGCTATTTACCGTTGGTCTGACTCGTGGTCTATGAAGCTTAACACTAACAAATGCAAGGTCATGCGTGTGTCTCGCCAGTCTCAGGACTCTCCTAACTATTTCCTTAATAATGCTCATCTAGAACCGGTATCTTCGTACAAGTATTTAGGCGTACATATAGCTTCTAACCTTTCATGGGAAACACATATTCAGCATATTTCAGCTAACGCTAACCGCATGTTAGGTTATATCAAACGAAACTTTTCATTAGCACCTGTCTCACTGAAATTAACTCTTTACAAAGTTTTAATTCGTCCCAAGTTAGAATATGCAGCTTCTGTCTGGGATCCCGGACTAGTCACTCTCGTATCTACATTGGAAGCCGTTCAGAACAGATCCGCTCGTTTCATCCTCACAAACTATCACCGCACCGCTAGCGTCACCTCTATGAAAACAACTCTCTCATTACCACCTTTATCTCTACGTCGTAAAATTTCTCGTCTTTCCCTATTCCATAAGATATATCATCATAATTCTTTCCTGCGCGACAAAATAATTGCTCGGCCTGTCTATGTTTCCTCCCGTCTTGATCATCAACATAAGGTGGGCATTCCTAACTCTGTCACGACCACGTTTTATTCATCTTTCGTTCCCCGTACATCCCAGGAGTGGAACCACCTTCCCCGGTCGATCGCCATTATCACGGACTCTGAGCTCTTTAAAAGTACAATAACTAATTACCTTATTACTGAGTGTGTCTAAATATGTATTATGTTATTTGCATTAACCTTCTTGTTGCTCTCCCCCTCTGTAATGCCTTCGGGCCCTGAGGGTATAATAAATGAAATGAAATGAAAGGTGTTTCTGCAGATATGTCGATACTTGCCGTTGCCACGAACCTCTTTCAGTAACGATAGCTCGGAATGGGCATGCTTCCTTGTGTGTTTTGGCACTGAAGAAGATTTCTAAGTGCAGCTCTTCTGCTTTTCTGATGTTGGCAGCGAACTGTGTTAACGTGAGACGTTCACACAGACTGAGAGCCTGGCTCTTCACTTTTTTCATCACAATCTGCACCTGTCGGAAGTTCTTTTGTACTGCTGTGCAGGCTTTTTCATTATACATGCCTTCAGGCATTATCACGAAGGAGCCTTCTTTATCGGCCTCCAAAACACGCTGTTGGTTGTCGACCAAGAAGTTAACCAGACGCATAGGATCCTGGGTCTGGACTTTCCCCGAGACAGAAATGGCGTCAACACATTCCGATATACATCGAGGTCGTATAAAAACGGTCGATAATGATGTTGTCTGTAAGACAATGGACATTTCCCACAAATGTGGTTCGGGACTTGTCTTTACCTGTGAAACGCCAAAGGAAGGAATTTTGCAATTTCTGGACCTTTCGCTTAATCTGCTACCCAATCACCTGTGCTGGACCTTTTCCCCTCGTTCCAAGAAAGGCATCCTAAACTACACGTCCTCTCACTCCAAAGTCGGTAAAAGGGGTATAGCTATGTAATGCCTTACAAGCGCCTCAAATAAGTCTTGTTTTCATACCCTCCAATGTAGTTTTGAAGCACAAATTGAGAGGCTGACATCCTCGGGCTTTCCTATGCAGGTGCTGACTGAGGTAGTGGGAACTCTGGTCAAGAGAGTGAAGGGAGTTCAAAAACCTAAGCCCGCTTTTGACAAAGAAAGAATTGTGGTCGTCCCGTATATGCATAAAATTTCCCACAATCTTAAAAAGGTGGCTAGCCGTTACGGGGTCCCTTTAGTGATGTCAGCCCCCCCAAAAATGGCTCAAATTTGTCAAAAAGTTCATGCTAAGGTAAACAATTTTAAAAAACATACGTGCCACAAGAACCACTCCCACTTTTATGTGCCCTGCTCCCTGAGTGTAGTATATAGTATCCCACTTTCATGTGGTAAAAGCTACGTTGGACAGACCGGACGGTGTGTGAACGACCGGCTACGAGAGCACAATCTCTCTCTAAAGTCTACGGTGGCGGGCCATCTACCCGTTCACTGTAAATCGTGTAAATGTACGCCATCCTTAGCCGAAACCAGGATAATAGGCAGGTACCGAGAAAAACACACCAGAGAGGTTTTTGAAGCTTTCATTATTCTAAGCATGGGCGAGCGATGTGTCAGCTTTCCGTCTGCGTCATTAACAGAGGAGGAAATTGCCTTTTTAAAATCATTTTCGTGTGGGTAATTGTAACAGTACCCCTCGAGCCCTCGGGCCTCTGGTCTCTCGTGCCTGTGTGGCCAACGCTCGAGCGGATTCCGCGTTCTGTACCACTTTCTTTTCTTCTTTCGTTAATACATGAGTTGTGAGTGTGCGCTTGTTTGTCGTCTACGTGTTCCTCTTCTCTGTCCTTGCCCTTGTGTGCGCAACTGTCACTATGTTCAATAACTACCAACTCGCCCAACTGTCTACTCTACTCCACGTTAGTTCTTCGTTAAACTAAACCCCAAGAATTTTATATTCTGTCACTTGTTCTAAAATTGCATTGCTAGATTTAATAATGACGGGTCGTTATCGCGTTTATAGATAGGCTGAAATATTACATATTTGGTTTCAGACTCATTTAGTTGAAGTTTATTTGATATACCGCCCATCCTAATAAGTACAGCCGTTACCTTCCATCCACATATTGTTCTAATCGAGCCCCGTGATCTTGAAATATCTACGAAATTTGCAGGAAGAGGTTCAGAATAACTAATTCTGTACAGGGGTTACTGCTTTGACATCAACTGTAACTTGGAAGGCTGTGACTATGCCATATTTTGTAGGAAACATTCCACGCCGGTCTAGTTTTGCAACGGACAGGAAGCAGTCGCTTTCAGAGAATGGTGTGAAAAAATGTTTCAGTGTCGGTGGAACAGGAGAAAAAAGCACAAAGAAGACACTTGCACGCAAATACGCAATATTCACAGACAGCAAAAATCTCAAACTCTATTGTAATTTATGTATCAATCTCACTGATTGCATTACAACCCTGCCATTTGGGCATAAAGCCCAAGGTATTGTGTAAAGCCATAAATGAAGTCAGATTTGTTTGAAGGAAATAAATGGGAAAAATTGGAAGTAGCCAAAATATGTAATAGGTAAAAAGATGCAATTAATTTAAGAAGGCAAAAAGATAAAAACTGAAGTCAAATGTAGGTCTTCCAATTATATTTATCACTCCAAGATATAAGAAACTGCTTATTCTCGGGGGAACTTTGGGCATTTCTCGCGGCCAGTTTGCACCGATGTTCATTCCAGATGATATCACTTTGAATATAACCAGAAAAACATGCTAAGTAGAGAACTATTGGGGGCACTAGACATCTAATTTCTTTGAAGCAGCTTAGGACATACATCAAACTCCAGGACGGCTAATTGAACATGGACGACATCGGGTAAACCAAAATATTTCTCCATGAAAAGCATTAATCTTGAACACCACGCTCATTACTGCGGGTTCCTAAGGAGTTATTGACACCAGTCATTTCTTTAGGTACACACTCCCCCCTCCCAAACCTGTCATCGCTGTTTTTTTTTCTGTAGATGAGCGGCTTATTTTGCCCTTGCCGTTGCAATATCTCTTCACCTGCAGTTCTTCGACCGGTCCTTGGTCTAAGAAATAAAAACTCGCAGTGCTCGCTGCTTCGACATTTTGAACGTTTAGCAGCTCGTCTGTCTGGTTTGTAATTTGCGGTTAATCATACATATCGACCACTGCACTTATTCACTTTTGGAAACTGCATATGTTGCAACTCTTCCACTATGAAATATGGGATCCGAAAATACTAGAACCATATGGATTGCGGTAGTAGACAGTGCGCAGCGGACAAGCCTCGTCTTCTTTGTGTGGGGAGATGGCGCCCTTGCGGTGGTGGCGTGAAGCAGGTGCAGCGACGGACCCGACGGACCCGACGGACCCGACGGACCCGACGGACCCGACGGACCCGACGGACCCGACGGACCCGACGGACCCGACGGACCCGACGGACCCACGGACCCGACGGACCCGACGGACCCGACGGACCCGACGGACCCGACGGACCCGACGGACCCGACGGACCCGACGGACCCGACGGACCCGACGGACCCGACGGACCCGACGGACCCGACGGACCCGACGGACCCGACGGACCCGACGGACCCGACGGACCCGACGGACCCGACGGACCCGACGGACCCGACGGACCCGACGGACCCGACGGACCCGACGGACCCGACGGACCCGACGGACCCGACGGACCCGACGGACCCGACGGACCCGACGGACCCGACGGACCCGACGGACCCGACGGACCCGACGGACCCGACGGACCCGACGGACCCGACGGACCCGACGGACCCGACGGACCCGACGGACCCGACGGACCCGACGGACCCGACGGACCCGACGGACCCGACGGACCCGACGGACCCGACGGACCCGACGGACCCGACGGACCCGACGGACCCGACGGACCCGACGGACCCGACGGACCCGACGGACCCGACGGACCCGACGGACCCGACGGACCCGACGGACCCGACGGACCGACGGACCCGACGGACCCGACGGACCCGACGGACCCGACGGACCCGACGGACCCGACGGACCCGACGGACCCGACGGACCCGACGGACCCGACGGACCCGACGGACCCGACGGACCCGACGGACCCGACGGACCCGACGGACCCGACGGACCCGACGGACCCGACGGACCCGACGGACCCGACGGACCCGACGGACCCGACGGACCCGACGGACCCGACGGACCCGACGGACCCGACGGACCCGACGGACCCGACGGACCCGACGGACCCGACGGACCCGACGGACCCGACGGACCCGACGGACCCGACGGACCCGACGGACCCGACGGACCCGACGGACCCGACGGACCCGACGGACCCGACGGACCCGACGGACCCGACGGACCCGACGGACCCGACGGACCCGACGGACCCGACGGACCCGACGGACCCGACGGACCCGACGGACCCGACGGACCCGACGGACCCGACGGACCCGACGGACCCGACGGACCCGACGGACCCGACGGACCCGACGGACCCGACGGACCCGACGGACCCGACGGACCCGACGGACCCGACGGACCCGACGGACCCGACGGACCCGACGGACCCGACGGACCCGACGGACCCGACGGACCCGACGGACCCGACGGACCCGACGGACCCGACGGACCCGACGGACCCGACGGACCCGACGGACCCGACGGACCCGACGGACCCGACGGACCCGACGGACCCGACGGACCCGACGGACCCGACGGACCCGACGGACCCGACGGACCCGACGGACCCGACGGACCCGACGGACCCGACGGACCCGACGGACCCGACGGACCCGACGGACCCGACGGACCCGACGGACCCGACGGACCCGACGGACCCGACGGACCGACGCGACCCGACGGACCCGACGGACCCGACGGACCCGACGGACCCGACGGACCGACGGACCCGACGGACCCGACGGACCCGACGGACCCGACGGACCCGACGGACCCCGACGGACCCGACGGACCCGACGGACCGACCCGACGGACCCGACGGACCCGACGGACCCGACGGACCCGACGGACCCGACGGACCCGACGGACCCGACGGACCCGACGGACCCGACGGACCCGACGGACCCGACGGACCCGACGGACCCGACGGACCCGACGGACCGACGGACCCGACGGACCCGACGGACCCGACGGACCCGACGGACCCGACGGACCCGACGGACCCGACGGACCCGACGGACCCGACGGACCCGACGGACCCCGACGGACCCGACGGACCCGACGGACCCGACGGACCCGACGGACCCGACGGACCCGACGGACCCGACGGACCCGACGGACCCGACGGACCCGACGGACCCGACGGACCCGACGGACCCGACGGACCCGACGGACCCGACGGACCCGACGGACCCGACGGACCCGACGGACCCGACGGACCCGACGGACCCGACGGACCCGACGGACCCGACGGACCCGACGGACCCGACGGACCCGACGGACCCGACGGACCCGACGGACCCGACGACCCGACGGACCCGACGGACCCGACGGACCCGACGGACCCGACGGACCCGACGGACCCGACGGACCCGACGGACCCGACGGACCCGACGGACCCGACGGACCCGACGGACCCGACGGACCCGACGGACCCGACGGACCGACGGACCCGACGGACCCGACGGACCCGACGGACCCGACGGACCCGACGGACCCGACGGACCCGACGGACCCGACGGACCCGACGGACCCGACGGACCCGACGGACCCGACGGACCCGACGGACCCGACGGACCCGACGGACCCGACGGACCCGACGGACCCGACGGACCCGACGGACCCCGACGGACCGACGGACCCGACGGACCCGACGGACCCGACGGACCCGACGGACCCGACGGACCCGACGGACCCGACGGACCCGACGGACCCGACGGACCCGACGGACCCGACGGACCCGACGGACCCGACGGACCCGACGGACCCGGACCCGACGGACCCGACGGACCCGACGGACCCGACGGACCCGACGGACCCGACGGACCCGACGGACCCGACGGACCCGACGACCGCGGACCCGACGGACCCGACGGACCCGACGGACCCGACGGACCCGACGGACCCGACGACCCGACGGACCCGACGGACCCGACGGACCCGACGGACCCGACGGACCCGACGGACCCGACGGACCCGACGGACCGACGGACCCGACGGACCCGACGGACCCGACGGACCCGACGGACCCGACGGACCCGACGGACCCGACGGACCCGACGGACCCGACGGACCCGACGGACCCGACGGACCCGACGGACCCGACGGACCCGACGGACCCGACGGACCCGACGGACCCGACGGACCCGACGGACCCGACGGACCCGACGGACCCGACGGACCCGACGGACCCGACGGACCCGAACGGACCCGACGACCCGACGGACCCGACGGACCCGACGGACCCGACGGACCCGACGGACCCGACGGACCCGACGGACCCGACGGACCCGACGGACCCGACGGACCCGACGGACCCGACGGACCGACCGACGGACCGGACGGACCGACCGACGGACCCGGACGGACCCGACGGACCGGACGGACCGGACGGACCGGACGGACCGGACGGACCGGACGGACCGGACGGACCGGACGGACCGGACGGACCGGACGACCGACGGACCGGACGGACCGACGGACCGGACGGACCGGACGGACCCGACGGACCCGGACGGACCCGACGGACCGGACGGACCCGACGGACCGGACGGACCGACGGACCGGACGGACCCGACGGACCGGACGGACCGACGGACCGGACGGACCCGACGGACGACGGACCCGACGGACCGGACGGACCCGACGGACCGGACGGACCCGACGGACCGGACGGACCCGACGGACCGACGGACCCGACGGACCGGACGGACCCGACGGACCGGACGGACCCGACGGACCGGACGGACCCGACGGACCGACGGACCCGACGGACCCGGACGGACCCGACGGACCGGACGGACCCGACGGACCGGACGGACCCGACGGACCGGACGGACCCGACGGACCGCGGACGGACCCGACGGACCGGACGGACCCGACGGACCGGACGGACCCGACGGACCGGACGGACCCGACGGACCGGACGGACCCCGACGGACCGGACGGACCCGACGGACCGGACGGACCCGACGGACCGGACGGACCCGACGGACCGGACGGACCCGACGGACCGGACGGACCCGACGGACCGGACGGACCCGACGACGGACCGGACGGACCCGACGGACCGGACGGACCCGACGGACCGGACGGACCCGACGGACCGGACGGACCCGACGGACCGGACGGACCCGACGGACCGGACGGACCCGACGGACCGGACGGACCCGACGGACCGGACGGACCCGACGGACCGGACGGACCCGACGGACCGGACGGACCCGACGGACCGGACGGACCCGACGGACCGGACGGACCCGACGGACCGGACGGACCCGACGGACCGGACGGACCCGACGGACCGGACGGACCCGACGGACCGGACGGACCCGACGGACCGGACGGACCCGACGGACCGGACGGACCCGACGGACCGGACCGGACCCGACGGACCGGACGGACCCGACGGACCGGACGGACCCGACGGACCGGACGGACCGGACGGACCGGACGGACCGACGGACCGGACGGACCGGACGGACCGGACGGACCGGACGGACCGGACGGACCGGACGGACCGGACGGACCGGACGGACCGGACGGACCGGACGGACCCGACGGACCGGACGGACCCGACGGACCGGACGGACCCGACGGACCGGACGGACCCGACGGACCGGACGGACCCGACGGACCGGACGGACCCGACGGACCGGACGAACCCGACGGACCGGACGGACCCGACGGACCGACGGACCCGACGGACCGGACGGACCCGACGGACCGGACGGACCCGACGGACCGGACGGACCCGACGGACCGGACGGACCCGACGGACCGGACGGACCCGACGGACCGGACGGACCCGACGGACCGGACGGACCCGACGGACCGGACGGACCCTGACGGACCGGACGGACCCGACGGACCGGACGGACCCGACGGACCGGACGGACCCGACGGACCGGACGGACCCGACGGACAGGACGGACCCGACGGACCGGACGGACCCGACGGACCGGACGGACCCGACGGACCGGACGGACCCGACGGACCGGACGGACCCGACGGACCGGACGGACCCGACGGACCGGACGGACCCGACGGACCGGACGGACCCGACGGACCGGACGGACCCGACGGACGGACGGACCCGACGGACCGGACGGACCCGACGGACCGGACGGACCCGACGGACCGGACGGACCCGACGGACCGGACGGACCCGACGGACCGACGGACCCGACGGACCGGACGGACCCGACGGACCGGACGGACCCGACGGACCGGACGGACCCGACGGACCGGACGGACCCGACGGACCGGACGGACCCGACGGACCGGACGGACCCGACGGACCGGACGGACCCGACGGACCGGACGGACCCGACGGACCGGACGGACCCGACGGACCGGACGGACCCGACGGACCGGACGGACCCGACCGACGGGACCGGACGGACCCGACGGACCGGACGGACCCGACGGACCGGACGGACCCGACGGACCGGACGGACCCGACGGACCGGACGGACCCGACGGACCGGACGGACCCGACGGACCGGACGGACCCGACGGACCGGACGGACCCGACGGACCGGACGGACCCGACGACCGGACGGACCCGACGGACCGGACGGACCCGACGGACCGGACGGACCCGACGGACCGGACGGACCCGACGGACCGGGACGGACCCGACGGACCGGACGGACGGATGGATGGATGGATGGATGGCATAGGGTGAAGCCCTTTACAGTAGAGTATCAAGTGCTCAGCCGTCTCGTCCTCCACTCCACAAGCAGTGCACACTGTATCCATTTCCTGGTACTTCACTCTGTATGTTCTGATTCGCAGAACACCCGTCCTCGCCTCAAACAGCAATGAGCTTCCCCTAGAATTGTCATAAATGCTTTCTTTGGCAATAGCTGTTTTGTTTAATCTATAGCTTTCCAGAGCCGTCTTTGTCTGCATTCCCTCTAGCCACCGATTTCTTTCTGTGGCCTTAACTTTCTTATTAACTGAGACTTGCTCTTCCGCATCTTCGCTCTAGCCCAAAAAACTTCACTCTTTAATTTCCTAGTGCGCTGTCTCCACTTTGTGTCTACACTCCTCATGTATAAATAGCTGAAAACCTTTTTGTAACCATTGCCACCCATCCATCTTGCCTCAACCAAATCCTCAAATTCTATCGTGCTCACCGCTTCCCTGCTCTCTAAATGACGCCTATCCCATGTCTCCTTGTACTCCCCTGGTTTGGCGTTTTTGCAATGTGCCCCCAAAGCCAGTCTACCTACTCCGCGCTGTTCTATTTCTAGTCTCGCATGCACTTTGGATTTCATGGATAGCACCACGTTTCCAAAAGTCAAGCCAGGCACCATGACCCCGCTGTTCCA